ATATATATATATATATATATATATGAAATGAACACCATATAATTATATGCATTTGGTTGCATTTTATTTTGTGATTTTACTGCAGTGTTATGAGGGCCACAGATGAGCACACGTCTAAGAGTCAATCACAGATAGTGGTGCTGAGATGACAAATGGAAGCTGAAGCCATTTCAATAGTGTCTAGATTCACCTATGATTCATCATACATGTTTATGGTCGCAGCCACAATGCCTTGTAAACGTCAGAAATCATAAATCCTTAAAAGTCAAAATAATCTCTTCAAGACTGTTGCCAATGTCCATACCATACAGTGCCGGGAAAATAAATAAATAAATAAACTCCGCAAGCAGCATTGGATTTGAACAGATTAGAAATTTTATTTGATTGTGTATCAAACCTTAAACTTTGCTGTTGTCATGACAGCCAGTAGCATGTTCTGTTTTCTGTCAGATTTGCATGAAGATCAACAGAAAATGTGTTTTGTTCTTGTTCTAATTTAATCATGTAAAAAAAAAGCACACGGTTGCAGTGTTATTTTAGCCTCACTAAGATGCTATTATACTTTTTATTTATATTTTTCTTTTTTTATATTTTCTGTTTTAATGTTAAAGGGTTAATTAACCCAAAAATTAAAATTACCCCATGATTTACCTCAAGCCATCCTAGATGTATATGACATTCTTTTTTCAGACGAATACAATCGGAGTTATATTAAAAAACATCCTGGCTCTTCCAAGCTTTATAATGGGAGTGGATAGTAGCCCAAAATTTGAAGTCCAAAAATTTGAACCCATCCATTATAAAAGAAGTCCACACGGCTCCGGGGGGTTAATAAAGGCCTCCTGAAGCGATGCGTTTGTGTAAGAAAAATATCCATATTTACAACTTTATAAACCTTAATCTCTAGCTTCCGCTAACTGTCGTATGCGCCTTCACGAGAGAGTGGCGTCCAGCGGGTGACGTAGCATGTAGGCAAACGCGGTGACGAATGCGGAAGTGACGAACGTGGAAGCGCAGAGGAGAGAGCAAAACAAAACACCGGTCACGAATTAGTAGTACAAAACTAGGTTTTGTAAAGAAAAATGTCGGAGGATTTCAATATAAGCCAAGAGGAAACTGGTTTTCCTAATAAGTCAGTCTACTGAGTGTTAAAAGATCTGTCAGAGCAACCAAAGATTTTTAGCATTTGGCAATGCTAATCTTTTTTTAACAATCCTCTTTCTTTTAGATTTGTTTATTTTCAAAGCCTTCTACATAGTATGGGTAGTATTCGCCTCCTTAAAATTAAAGGCAAACATTTATGCTTATAGACAAATGTATTAAACAAGTTGCAATGAGACGCACATATACAGTACCTCAGCACACTATTCTCATCCATGGTGAGCATTTTAAATCCGTAAATATATGAACTCTGATCCA